TTAAATCATGTGATCATATATGAATGTGCGATGATGTAGTCTTCATTTGCCTTCACAATGACAGATAAACTTGCGAATATATATGTGTGTGTGTGTGTGTGTGTGTGGAACCTGGTCATGATAACAAAGGCGTTTATTAAATTATCCCAGATTTTTTCAGTTTTGGCCAGTGGCAGGAAAGAAGGGTTGATTAGTTGGAGAAAAATACCACTTATCCCTGTAAATTCCGTGCAATATTTTAACACGTCAGCACAAACGCCGTGAAGATACGCTATGCCTATATTTTACCGAAGTATTTTATTGAAATTGATTTTTTTCACTTTGCATCATACAACCAGTTATCATAACGCCCGTCTGTACTGTCATGCACAAGTTATAACAGTTTTATTCTACCTCCCCAATATCCTCCTGTCATTTCATGCTGTCAATATTGACATATACAAGATTTCAACATATATCATACATCACATGATTATTTCACATACAGGACTCAAATAACACATTTTATGTAATGAAAGAAATGAAATTCCATTCGTATCAAATATTTTTTCTTCGGAAATTGATATTTCAAACTGTTACACCTCTTCCTGGCGTTTGGTAGAATACAGAAAAGGTGGTGATTATACAAGAAAGTTTGAAACAAGAGGAGGTGTGTTAATCTGTTAAACTGATTGCATTCAGCAGAGTTGGATTGATCTACATAGAACGGAATGGAATGAAACCTTAGAGTCATTAAAATGTTCTTAATATTTATCTAGAACTTCAACCCCCACTGGATTATCAATATCTTACCAATAAATAAGAAATAATCATTATTATACAGGGTGATATATTGGCGTCTGTTCTGTCTCAACATGGTTGTGACGTCTTCCACAAAATTGATGATAATGTGTTAGGTGAGACAAGACGTTAATCGCTGTTGATTGCATGGCAAAACAAACGAAAGTTAACATTTTATATTTCTAAAAATACCGATAAAAAATTTAATGCACTTCTCTTGGTGCTTTTTGTTTCTCATCTACGGATCCAAGTTACAAGATCCTTCTATACAAATGTAAAATTAAGTTGTTCATAAATATCTAAGATAAAGTATTGCTTGCAAGGTGAACTACCAAAGCGCAAGACACGGCGCGTTTTTTCTATTTATGTCCAAAGCTTTAACGTTATGACGCCAAATATAATCCACATATTTCATGATTTGGTCATTTATTCAATGCCAGATTTTAGGGGAGGGCGTTCCTCTCACTTTTACGTTTTGTTTCCCAGATGTCTTTTCTCCCCCCAAAAGAGGAAAAAAGAAAAAAATATATATGGGAAATCTCAAGAGGGGCTGGATCTCTCTTATACGTACATGAGTGTGACAAAAAGATAATAATATCAATTAAAACATTATAACAAACAAAACGAAACAAATCCAAGACGTTTTACCGTCACTGTGCCCTACATATGAGAATAAAATTATCTTCCTTTTTACTGTTTTACATCCAATCTTCATAAAAACGTTAACTTTCAAACAGCTATTGTTTTAAGGTAACACGATGAGTGTCTTGTCGCTTTGTCTAGGTATATTATACTTTATTTTAATTAAGACTGACTGTTTCGGTAGCTCACGACAACCATGACTAAATTTTTTTACCGCGTTCGCTTTTCATTTGTGTTGCTCCAGGATCGACACACCTATCTATTCCATGTATTAATGGGAGGTTAATTTTCACGAGACTGGACACAGGTTACTGCTAAGTCTCTATCTATAGTAAAAAAAAAACTTTAAGATATCAGTGACACATTTTATTTTTAGAAACGGGAAAAATGAGTACGTTTTCAGTTTAAAAAACAAATTAAAGTCAACTGGTAAATCATTGCATTTGGATTGTGTGAAAAATAAACAATGCAATCTTTCTTGAATTTGATTTTTTAAATTTTTCTCAATTTCTTTATTATTCTCATAATCTTGTTATCTAAATCTTATTGCGGAATTGATCATTCAATATGGACATGAATTAAAGTTACGGACATTTCATAGCAGTTAAATACCACATCCTCGCGATCTAACGTTAGACAAATTCTCTCTCTCAAAATCAGCAGTGCCACAGACAAAATGCAAAAAAAAAAAAAGAAAGAAAAAAAACAACATTGGAATATGAGTTATTTAGGCCTATATCTAAAGAAAATCAACTTTTTCTTTTCACTCGAACATATTTTAATTAAAATAAAAGTGATCTTTACAGTACCTCTCGAGGGGAGGGAGGGGGCGTACACCGGGGCTCTCGTCAAGAAGCCCTTCTCAGCCTTCTAGCTGTTACAAAATGCTTCCGAAGGGCGGGTCGAGCAGTGATTTATAATGCGAAGAAAATTGTTATTTTTCTTTGGGGAAATTACTTTTGCTAGCTTCAAATATGTATTCTTTTTATCAAATGATAAAAATTAACATGAACATGACTTCCGGACAACCTTATATTACTACAGGCAATCTAATTTGCATATAAGAGAAAAATGCATTTTTTTTCCTGTTTTTGAGCTGTATACAGATTTTCTTTAATTTTTGTACATAACAATATCCCACTATACTCATAAATTCCAATTATTTGATCGACACGCCCTGTTTATTTATTCATTTATATAAATTATAAACCTTCATGTCACAGGTGTGAATCACGTTATCACGTCCAAGTCATAACATTGTTAAACTAGCACCAATAACTGCAGTGGAGAATGTAGGTCAATTGCCTGTACAATTTTCCCATACCATTATTGATTTTTTTTCTGGAGTGGAACATTTTAGGGGGAGTCTGACGGAAGAGAGAAGCATCAGTTTAACAGCAAAAAAAATAATAATAATAAAGAAAGCGTGGAGCTGCTATAATCAGAGGCTTTTACAAACTTTAAGACAAGTGAAAAATACCCCAATTTTCCAATTTCACCGTGTAGCACTTTTCAGACAATATGATACAACTCCATGTCATCTGTTGACCACGTTAACTGTTCAACTCCCGGCAGAAGATGAACCAGCCAACGATAGTTTTGATACATAAGTGTAGGCCTAGTTGGACTCGGAGCCGGGATGTGGGGCGAGACAGGGAGGGGGGGAGGGGGGGGGATGGCGGAGGGG